TGACACTCATGTTCTTGGACTCTGCTTAGAATTATAACAAGAAGTTATATGACTATATCATGATATACTATCTATGGATGCTACCCACACTTTTTGCAGGGAGTTTAAAAAAAACTAATTTCTTGGTACAATTTAAATATACATAACAACCACATTCATCAAAGGGAGTTTGTACTTGTATATGATATATCTTGATTCTTCTTTTTTTCCCAATTCCCTTCCCTCCCCCCTTATTTACAAAAGTTTGTTTCCCCCTTTCACAGTTTCCCTTTCCTTTTTTCTTGGTACCAGGGATCGAACTTGGGACCTGTTGCTTTTGAGGAACCACTGGGCTAAATCCCCAGCTCCCTTTCCTTTTGAACAGTTTCTTCCTATTTCATATTATCTATTATGCATTTTGGTCTTCTTATCCTTTCAGATTCTCACACCAGAGAGACAATGCAATATTCCCTCATATGAGTCCAATTTAAGAGTATAGTTTCAAGTTGCATCCATTTAGCTATAAATGTCTCAAGTTATCCTGGTTTATGGCAGAGTAGTGCTCCATTATATGAAAAAACCACATCTTTTCTATTTTTTTTAACCACATCTTTTTTTATCCATTCATCGGTTGATGGGTATTTGGGCTGTTTCCAAGACTTAGCTATTATAAACTATGTCACTATAAACATGGATGCACATATATTGTGGTATGATGTTTTTCATTCTTTTTGTTGTTGTTTTTTTGAGGCAGGGTCTTACTATGTAGTTCAGGCTGGCCTTGAACTCACTATGTAGCCCAGGCTGACCTTGAACTTGTGGCAATCCTCCTGCCTCAGCCTCCTGAGTGCTGGGATTGCAGGCATGCACCTCCATGTCCCATGATGTTTTTAATTCTTCTGGGAAAATACCCAGCAGGGGAATAGCTGGGTCAAATGGGACCTCTAATCCTAATTTTTTTGAGAAATCTCCATACTGATTTCCACAGTGGTTGTACCAGTCTGCACTCCCACCAACAGTGGAGAAGGGTTCCTTTCTCCCCATAACCCTGCCAGCATTTGTTGTTGGTTGATTTCTTGATAGCAGCCATTCTTTCTGGAGTGACGTGGAATCTCAGCATTGTTTTCATTTGCATCTCTCAAATGACCTGTGATGTTGAACATTTTTTCATATATTTGTTTGCCATTTCTACTTCTTCATCTGAGAAGTGTCTGTTCATTTCAGAGGCCCATTTTTGAATTGGGTCTTTAAATTTGGGAGTGGTCTGATTTTTTCAACTCTTTGTATGTTCTAGATATTAGTCCTTTATTTGAGGGACTACTGGATAAAAATTTTTTCCCATTCTGTGGGTTGTCTATTCACTCTTTTGGTGATTTCTTTTGAGGTGCAAAACTTTTTAATAGGATGAGATCCCAGTTGATTCTTTGCACTATTGCTGTGCAGTTTGGGTTTTGTTCATGGAGTTGTTGCCTACCCCTATATCCTCAAGAGTTCTGCCTATTCTCTCTTCCAGCAGTGTTTCTGTTTTAATATTTAGATCTTTGATCCATTTTGACTTTAGTTTAGTGCATGGTGAGACATGGGTCTCATTTTAGTCTTTGGGATGTAGAAAGCCAGTTTTTCCAGTATCACTAAGATGGCTAAGTGAGTTTGGTGTTGTTTTTGCCTCTTCTAGTCTGTTCTCTTGGTCCTCAGGTCTGTTTTTTTTGCTGGTACCATGCTGTTTTTTATCATGGTAGCTCTGTAGTATAATTTCCAGTCAGGGATTCTGATGCCTGCAGGGAATTTTTAGTGGGTGCCAACAGTTGCTATCTAAGACACAAATCTTCCCAGCACTGTCATCAGCCAGGGTCTGTGGCGGGCAGGCTGTGTGCGGCCAGTGGTGATGTGCTATCTACCCAACAGGAGGGAAATGGTGCAGGAGGAAGGGTACTGGCCAGATGAGGTGGCTAAATACTTCAGCAATAGCCAAAAGGAAATGCACTATACTTTTCTTTGAAGACGTCCCATAATACTTCCTATTTTTTTTTTTTTTGATTTTTGAGGCAGGGTCTCCTTTTGTAGTTCAGGCTGGCCCTGAACTCACTATGTAGCCTAGGCTGGCCTCAAACTCGCAGTGACCCTCCTGCCTCAGCCTTCTGAATGCTGGGATTACAGGTGTGTGCCACCACACCTGGCTCAATACTTCCTATTTATTTAAAAAAATATTTTTTAAAGAGAAGTTTTACGATCAGAGAAAATTTGCACAGAGAGTTCCATTAGACTTTCTGCCCCAGCTCCAGCCTCTGCTCTCAGCATCTCTCACCAGAGTGGCATTTGTCCCACTTGCTGAACCCACACTCACACGGTATTATCAGGGGGGCCTGTAGTTCTCACTTGGCTTCACTCTCAGTGAGACACCCATTATGGTTTTGACGGATGTGACATGCATCCACATTACAGAATCGTACAGTGGTTTCACCACCCTAAAGATACTCCATGCTGCCTGTTCATCCCTCCTCCTTGCTTGCACTGCTTGGCACCGAGTTATGTGTTTACTATCTCTGTAACTCTGCCTTTTCCAGCATGTCAGATATTTGGAATCAATAGTATGTATGTTTTTCAGATTGGCTTCTTTCACTTACTAAATGTGCTTAAGGTTTCTCCATGTCTTTATACAGCTCGACAGCTCATTTCTTTTTTCAGTGTTAAAACCTCAGTTATGGATGGATGAAACACAGTGTAGCCATTCATCTACTGAAGGACATTTTGGTTGCTTTCAGATTTTGGTAATTATGAATACATCTATGGAGCAGTTTGCATGGATATGTTTTCAACTCTCTTGGTTAAGTTCCAAGGGGCATGACTGCTGGATTGTACAGTAAGATAATGTTTAGTTCTGTAGGGAACTGCTGCACTGTCTTCCAAAGTGGCTACACCATTCTTGCATTCCACGAGCAATGGATGAGAGTTCCTGGTGATCCACATCCTTGCCAGTATTTGGTGTTGTCAAAGTTTTATTGAACATTCTAATAGGTATGGAGTGGTATTTCACTGTTGTCCTAATTTTATTTATCTAGGTACCGGGGATCGAACTCAGGACCTTGAGCTTGCGTGGTAGGTGTGGAGCCACTGAGCTAAATCCCCAGCCCTGTTGTTGTAATTTGCAATTCCTTATTGACACATGATGTTGAGCATATTTTCATTTATCTATTTGCCACCTATTTCTTTGGTGAGATGTGCCATTTGTGTATCTTCTTTGGCTTATTCAGGTGTTTTGCCCATTTTTACATGGGATTGTTTTCTAATTGCTTAAAATATCCTTGGATTTTTGAGATAAAATGGACAGTGACACTGGCTTTTATACAGGGCATGTGATGCTACTCATGACATGACAGCCATCACCTAACATCATAGATTTTAGAGCTTAGGACTTTTAGAAATTTGTTGAGTTGGGCATGGTGGTGCACACCTGTAATCTCAACACTTGGGAGGCTGAGGAAAGTAGGCCAGAGGAAGATAGCTACTCAAAGATTAGTTCAGATATGAGCTGCATAAGGGTCTTGATTAGGGAGGCAGCCATGTGAAAGGAGAAGTGACAGTGATTTCAAACAAGAACCCAGTAGGACATCCTGACCTCTGAGTGTATGGGATTGGAGATACAGAGACATTAGAGATGAGTGAGACTGAAGTATGGTAAGGTGATCAGTAATGCCATTGGGTGAATTTGGAAAGTGAGGAGGAACAAGTTTAACAGCAAGAATTATTAATTTAGTTTGAGGCCAGCCTTGCCTACAGAGTGCAAGGTCAGTCACCCTGTCTCAAAACCAAAACCAAATAACTAAAAACATATAAGCCAAATAAATGTTTCCTCCTTTAAAAGCAAACACAAAAATAACAAAAAAAGTTGTACTGGAACACAGCCATGTTCATTCCATGGCTGCTGTCACGATACAACAGCACAATAGAGTAGCTGAGCCGTCTGTACAGACTGCAGGGCCGTGTATGTACTGCTGACCTTAATGGACAAAGTTTTATGATGCTCACTAAGATTCGAGTCAAAGCTCTGTATTCATTAGTCAAACCCTGAGCAAGTTCCTTCACTTGTGTCTCAATTTCCTCATCTGTATAAGGGGAATAATAATTTTTATTATTAAGAGTTATTTTAAGAATTACATAAATCAACATTTGAAAAGTGCCTAAAATACTTTGTGCATAGTAAGCATAATACACTTGGAGGAATTTAACCTCTTAAACTTGAATTACGCCAAGTGCGGTGGTACACCCCTGTAATCCCAGCTACTTGGGAGGTGAGGCTGGAGGATTTGAGTTTGAGGTCAGCAAAGTCAACATAGTTTAGTGAGACCCCAGCTCAAGAAAAGAAAAGAAGAAAAAAAAAAGGGAAAAAAGTTGTTAAAATTGAATTAATCAAATATTGAAACAAAATTTTTATTTTTATAAAATTACTTTTATGGCTAGAATAAGAACCTGGATTCAAACAAAATCTAGGATTTCCAATCTAGCATTTTAGTAAGCTAAATATTACCCACATAACTCTGTTAGTCAGCACCTATGGAATGATGGAGTAGGTTCTCTGCAGAATTCTTTGGCCTAGATCAAAGCTCTCTAGGGTCAGTTAGGCCTAGTGAAGAACATGCCTGTAAATCCCAGAGCTTGGGGGCTGAGGCAGAGGATCGAAAGTTTGAGCCTAACCTGGACAACTTAACAGTTTAGTGAGACCCTCGTCTCAAAATAAAAATAAAAAAAGGGCCTGAGGATGTAGCTCAGTATGAAGGCCCTGGGTTCAATCCCCAGTAGTGGGGAGTAGGGTAGGGGGTGGCTTTCTCGGGTTTATAAGCCAGACTTCTCCAAGACTGAGAGGCAGTGTTGTATAAGGGGCTGGCATCTGGAGTTCTACCTGGATTGAATTTTGACTTGCTGAGATGTGTGATTTTGGGCATGTCTTATTATCTGTAATGAATTATTAATATCTATTTCATAGGGGTGCTGTGAAGATTAAAAGTACTAACACACACAAAGTGTTTAGTGCAACACCTGCATTTTAATAAGCATTTCATAAACACCGGTTATTATTACCATTCTCCCAACAGCTGGGCATGGAATCAGTGGTAATCAGTTGCTGTGGAGTAATACTTGGAAATGTTCTCTTCTTGCCTTAACATTTTATCATATCACATGGTTTCAGTTAAACATTGCTTTCTCCAGGGATCTTCTTTCTTAAAGTATGCAAATTCCAGAGAGCATCCCTCCTTCCGCAGTATGGTTTAGTTTACTAGGTTCTAGGCATTCTCCTTACAATGGGAACAGGGGACATGCAAAGGCTGAAATTCGTGATCTCCAGGAGAAAGAGGGGAGAGAGATCAGGGCTTCTGAGAGATGGTGAAAAGGTAAGGAAAAGCACCAATGTTCCACAACCTGTTTTTCTTTGCCATCCTCAGGGATGAATGTATTCAGCCACACCCCTGTAGGATCCCCGAGGGTCCATAGGAAATTCGCAAGATGACCGGGAAACAAGCTTGCCCCAGCATGGCCCCTGCTGTCCACAGCCTCCTCTCCTGCACCCTGCGCTGCGACACCTTAACTTCTCTACCTGTCTGGCACTGCCCATCCTAGTTCACCTGCACCAGAGCTCCTTTGGTTTTGGACCCCAGTTAGATACTGAGGGGCCAGGGCTTATTTCCCAGTGACCTTGAGGTTTGACCCCCCGAGGAAGTTCTCTAGCAGATGGTGGAGCCTGAGGCTTGGGCTCCTACTCTTTGATTAAAATACTCTGTCCCTCGCCTCTGTGCCAGGCAGTGTGAATAAGGTCACTGTGACCTTGACCCAGTGGGGAAGCAGGAAGGAGGGGCCGATGTGGCTCTCCGTGCACCTTCCCCGCACGTTACTGTGAGACTGAACAACAGTTACTCCATTTTGTAATAGGGCCCCAACTTGTCTGCTTCTGTTACGGATCACCAGGTAGACATAGAGTTCCAGGGATGTGCTTGTTATTGTGCCAGGAAGGTCTGTTGTGTGCGTAGTGTTCCGTCATGCTTGCCCAACTCCATATCTGAATATGCTATCTTAAAAACAATCTGTAAAAGGTCTGTTTTATCCCTCTCCTCCACTTCTGTGTTTCTGCTTGCCAACTTCCCTCTAACATCTCCTATAAAAGGACCTCAGGCTCTGAGCCGGGCACCTCTCTAAGCTTGGAGCTTGGAGAGTGCTGTCTGGCCAGACTAATAAAGGTCTGTTTTACAACTTGTCCGGTGTGTTCCCTCCTGGGTGATCTTCGCTGTAGTCAGCTCCTCGGAGTGTTTGGTAAGGCCCATGGTCTTACATTCTGGAGGCCCCAGCGAGATCCCCAGGTAGGAACCCCTGGTTCGGCTGAGACTCCGTGGCGGGATCCAGCAGGAGACTCTCAGGCACAGACCTCAGAAAACCTCCGGAGGTAAGCTTTTGGCTGGTTGCAACCGTTTGTTAAGTCAGGAGTGAGGTGGCTGACCGGCCAGGAAGCCTCCCCTGACCCCGAGGTTCCTGACGAGGAACAAGGGAAGATTTAGTTTCATTTTGTCGGGGTGCCCGTTTGTCTTGTCTTTTGTACGTTAGTGTTGTGTCTGTTGTGTGTCTGATTTTACATTTTTTTCCCAATCCTTATCAGGAGCAGAGTAATGGGAGGAACCTGTTCTACCGGGTCCACTCGGCTTGACTGCTTTCTCACTAATTTTAAATTGGCTTTTTCTCCAGAACAAGAAGATGAATATGGGGTGAAATTTTCTCATGGAAAACTCCACTCCCTGTGCCAACTGGAATGGCCAGCCTTCAGGGTGGGATGGCCAGCTGAAGGGCATTTTGACCCGTGTATGCTGGGCAGTTTGGGGCAAAGTCACCGGTCACCCTGGCCACCCAGACCAATTTCCCTACATAGACATCTGGGTTCAGGCTTGTGAGAAACCTCTGGCTTGGCTGCAGCGCTGTTCCCTCCAAACAGACACTCGCATTTTAGTCGCTGCCCGAAAGGGCCCTGGGAACTTAAGCCCCGGGCTCCTAAGCCAGTTCTCTCGAAGGAACCTGACCCCCTGGATCCCTTAGGAGGGCCTCTGCCCTATATGGAATCCTCCACCCCCTCAGATGGCTCCCACTCTAGACCCTGCAATCCTTCCCTTTCTCCGTCTGTTCAACCTTCGGCTCCTACTCCTCTCTATCCTCCTCTCCCTGAGGGGCCCCAGTCCCCGGACTCTGTGACTCCCCCCCCCCACACATGAGCTGGGGCTCCGTATGGACCTTGCAAGGTCCCCACTGGGGAAACTAGTTCAGCCCCTCTCTTCCCCTTCGGGAGACAGAACAAGGTCACTATGTTTATATTCCTTTCACTACCAGTGACTTATATAATTGGAAATATCAAAATCCTCCTTTCTCAGAGAAGCCCCAAGCCCTAATATCTCTTCTAGAGTCTATTTTCCATACCCATGATCCTACTTGGGATGATTGCCAACAACTCCTCCAGGCCCTTTTTACCTCAGAGGAGAGGGAAAGGATCCGGGGCCAAGCTGTAAGGTCGGTACTAGGCGGAGCAGAGGGCCCCCTAGATGAGCAACAGTGGGCCTGTATTGAAGCACAACTCCCGTCCACCCGACCCCGCTGGCAAACTAATACCTTGGGCAGAAGAGAAGCTCTCCAGAACTATCGTCAGCATCTCCTGGCTGGCCTGAGGGGGGCCGCTTGGAAGCCTACCAATTTGAGCAAGGTAAGCGAGGTCCTTCAAGGACCAGAGGAATCCCCTTCTGCCTTTTTGGAGCGTCTGTTGGAAGCATACCGTACGTATACTCCAATCGATCCAGACACCCCTGCAAATTGTCAGGCAATAAATTTGGCATTTGTTACTCAGTCGGCCCCAGACATTAGAAAGAAGTTGCAAAGACTAGAAGGATTTGAGGGAGAGAATAGAGAAAAGTTGATGAGTGTAGCCATGAAGGGGTTTAACAATAGAGATCCTCCGGCAAAGAGGACGGACAAGAGGCTGGGAAAAGCGATCATAGCCGCCTTGGCTGATGGAGGATTTGTCCAGAAAAAAAGACTCAAAAATAAGGGAAGGATTTGACCCCTATTAGGGAAAGATCAATGTGCCTATTGTAAGGAAAAGGGCCATTTTAAGAAGGACTGTGAAAAGCTAAAAAGAAAAAAAAGGAGGCCCAAAAGGAAAAAGGTGGAATCCTCTTAGTAGATGAAGAAGATTGACAGGGCCAAGGCTCATGGCCGCTCAACCCTAGTAAGCCTATGGTGACTTTGGAGATAGGGGGAACAGATGTTCAGTTCCTTGTGGACACTGGTGCGGCCCACTCTGTCTTGAAGACCCTCCTTTGGACCCCTCACTTCCTCAAAAACCTCCATTACTGGAGCCACTGGGAAAGTGGCCTCCTACCCTTGGACCACTAGATGGACTGTGAATCTAGGAAAAGGCACCATCTCCCATTCCTTCTTAGTTATCCCTGAGTGCCCGTACCTGTTGCTGGGAAGAGACTTGCTATGAAAGTTGGGGGCTATTATTTCCTTTGAGCCTGAAAAGAGGGACCTTTGAGCTTAAACCACCCTCTGCCATTATGGTGACAGTTCCCCTAGAAGATGAATTTAGATTGCTAAAGGAGGGCACAGAGCCCCCCGAACAAAAATGGGACTACCTTCAGAAAAAGTTTCCCAGGGTATGGGCTGAAACCAATCCACTTGGGCTGGCCAACCACCATGCCCCGGTGGTGGTCCAGTTGCTGGCCTCTGGTGCCCCCGTCTGTGTGTGACAATACCCCCTCCGGCTGGAGGCCAAGGTGGGAATCTCTAAGCACATCCACCAACTCCGAGAGGCTGGCATCTTGGTCCCTTGCCGGTCAGCCTGGAATACACCCCTGCTTCCTGTAAGGAAGCCTGGCACTTCAGACTTCAGACCAGTACAGGATTTGTGGGAGGTGAACAGCTGGGTGGAGACCATCCACCCAACAGTACCAAACCCCTATACTCTGCTGAGTCTCATCCCTCCTGCCCATGTGTGGTATTCAGTACTAGACCTCAAAGATGCATTTTTCAGCATACCTCTGGCACCCGTGAGTCAACCCCTCTTTGCCTTCAAATGGACAGACCCAGACACTGGGACTACTGGACAGCAGACATGGACCCAGCTGCCACAGAGATTCAAGAACTCTCCCACTCTGTTTGGGGAAGCTCTCAGCAAAGATTTACGAGAGGTAAGGAGAGCTTTTCCCCATGCAGCTATTCTTCAATATGTAGATGACCTCCTAGTGACAACTTCAACCAATGAAGAACGTCTTGCAGCCACCAAGGGCCTCCTGGAAATTCTCCAAGACCTGGGATATTGGGTGTCCTGGAAAAAAGCTCAGCTTTGCCAGACCAAGGTAACCTACTTGGGCTATATTCTTGAGGAAGGGAAGAGGAGGCTGGCAGAATCACAGGTATCAGCAATTCTTCAGATTCCAGAACCAAGCTCAAAGAAACAGGTGCGTGAATTCCTATGGGTGATCGGGTATTGCAGAATTTGGATCGCTGGTTTTGCTGAAATTGCCAAACCCCTGCACGAAGCCACCGTGGGGGGAGATACGCCCCTCGAATGGACTGAGGCTTGCCAGCAGGCTTTCCAACTGCTTAAAACTATGCTTGGATCTGCACCAACCCTGGCATTGCCAGATATAACCAAGCCCTTCACTCTGTATATAGCAGAGAAGAACAGGGTAGCTAAGGGAGTGATAACTCGGCCTTTGGGACCATGGAAGCGGCCGGTGGCATACCTCTCAAAAAAGCTAGACCCAGTGGCCCGAGGGTGGCCCACCTGTCTGAGGATTATAGCAGCAGAAGCTGCTCTAACCTGAGAAGCTGATTGGAGCAGCTGGGCATCAAGTTTGCCACCACCGCTAGCCTCAACCCGGCTACTTTACTTCCAGAGTCCGATGAACAGATGCCCATCCATGATTGCCTTGAGACTCTTGAAAATTTATGAGGAGGGCATCCGGATTTAATGGACCAGGCCCTCCCTCAGGTGGAGGTCACATTCTATACTGACGGGTGCAGCTTCGTGTGTGATGGCGTGGGATATGCTGGGGCGGTGGTGGTCAACCAGGACCAACAGGTGGAATGGGAGCAAGGGCTGCCCCAAAGGACATCAGCACAAAAGGCTGAGTTGATTGCTCTGATCAAGGCTCTAGAACTAGGTAAAGGTAAAAGGATAAATATTTTCACTGACAGCCGTTATGTTTTTGCCACTGCCCATGTGCACGGGGAGATTTATCAAAACCGAGGGCTACTGACCTCTGAAGGAAAGACAATTAAAAATAAAACTGAGATACTGACATTGTTACAAGCCATTTGGCTGCCCCAAGAGGTTGCTATCATCCATGTCCATGGGCATCAAAAGGGGGCTAGCCCCAAGGTGACTGGTAATAATGCAGCTGATCTGGCAGCAAACCAGGCTGCCCAAAAATCAGTGGGGAAAGATGGTTCTGCTCCCCACATCAGTGCTGCCAGAGAAACCAGAGTACACAGATGAAGAAACAGTGGAAATGACCAAAAAGTGGTGGACCCAAGGTAAACATGGATGGTGGATGACTGAGGATGGAAAAGTGGTGCTCCCAGCCGCTGTAGCAGACACACTGCTACAAGAACTGCATGGGTTCACCCACCTTGGCGAGAAAAGAATGATGGCCGCTCTGCGACCCCATTTCGTCAGCAAGAGAATGGCACAAAAGGCCGAAGACCTAGTGAGACGATGCCCCACCTGTATCAAGGTAAACGCAAACCAGGTGACCAGACCCCCTGGGGTCTGACATAGAGGATTAACTGCAGGAGAACACTGGGAATTGGATTTTACCAAAATGAAACCTGGCATGTATGGGCACAAGTACTTATCAGTCTTTATAGATACTTTTTCAGGATGGATAGAAGCCTTTCCTACTAAGAGAGAGACAGCTGAGGTAACCATCAAAAGGCTCTTGACAGAAATAATTCCTCATTTTGGCTTGCCCTTAGCCCTGGGGTCCGACAATGGCCCAGCCTTTAAGGCTAAAATATCTTGATTCATCAGTAAAGCTTTAGGGATAAAATGGAATTTGCATTGTCCCTATAGGCCTCAGGGTTCAGGACAAGTAGAAGGAGCAAATCGAACCTTAAAAGAGGTACTAACTAAATTATGTCTGGAGACTGAACAAGGTTGGGTAGAGCTTCTCCCCTTTGCCCTCCTTCATACCCGGTGTACCCCTAAGCCGGCCCTAAATCTGTCACCCTACCAGATCATTTATGGGCGATCTTCCCTGATTGTCCCTCTGGTTGACTTGGAGTTAAAGGAAAAACTTTCCCACCTCCAACTACTTAAGTCCCTAAAAGCAGTCCATCAGCTTCAATCAGAGCTACATGATAAGCTGAGAAAAACTATACCTGGTCCCAGTGAAAAACCTTTGCAACCCTTATCCTATAAGCCAGGGAATTTGTTTTTCATTTGAAGGTTTGACTCCAAGACCCTTGAACCCCGCTGGAAGGGACCATTTCCCGTCGTCCTGGTGAAGTGAAGGTAGCTGGACACTCTGCCTGGATCCACCGCAGCCATTTAAAGGCGGCACCCCCAGAGGAAGCGACGTCAACATGGCAGACTGACCGGAACACGAAGGACCCCCTCAAGATAAGACTGATCAAAGACTAGTTTGGACAATATGGGGGTTCTTGGGGCTACTGTTCTTACCAGCCCTGATGGAAGGGGGATCTGGATGCCAGCTGGTGCTGTCCAGCCACACTCCCCAGAACTGGACTTCGTCCCTAAAAAATGCCTTAATGGGAGCTTACATTGCCACCATTACTACTGATAGACAGCCCCATTTTATTATAGACCTGTGTGCTCTGGGGCTTCCAATCACTAGTGGTGGGGGGGCTGGTTCAAAGGGTAAAGTTTCATCCGGAAAGATGGGTAAAGAGGGCCACGGAAGGAGGTGTGGAACAAATTATAAGTTGGAAAAAAACCTCCAAGACATAGATATTTATGCCTGCCCCATAGGAAAAAATAAAAGGTGCGATGGGGGACCAGGAAACCACTGTCATCATTGGGGTTGCGAATCTATTGCCCCGTGGAAAAATGATGATGCGTATCTGGCCTTGGAACAACAAACACCAAGTGGTTCATGTTCCAAAGGAAAATATAATCCCATCAAGCTAACCTTAAAACAACGGCAGAATCCATATAAAGATTGGGAAAAAGGCAAATCCTGGATGGTGGCACTCTATGTGGGAGGAAAGGACCCTATGACTGACCTCCTCATCCAGTGTAGCCCAGTAATAGTACTGCCTAAACCGGTACGCAACATCTATAGGGTCTCTGGCCCCCAAGAAAAAAAAAGGCAAAAGGAACCTATAATGTGTCATTAGCTGCTCCCGAATCTCCGATCCAACCATACCTAAAATCCCTGGATGCCATGTACACCCTGTTAAATGAGTCTAGCTCCAATCTTACTCAAGGGTGTTGGCTGTGTTTTAGTCCACATCCCCCGTATTATGTAGGGTTGGCAGTAAACGGCACCTTCTTGGAAGCGGACCAGGATGAGTGTGATTGGAAACAAGTGAGGTTGTCAATTGGGGATATAAAAGGAAAAGGGTTATGTGTTAAAAATCCAAGTGTTACATCTTCTTATCTGGACAGTATATGTTCTTATCAGACACCCACCATCAGTAATGAAAAATATTTAAAAGCTGGAAACAATGCATGGTGGGCGTGTACAAATGGTATAACTCCCTGTTTATCCATGACAGTCCTCAATCAGGAACTTGAGGTATGTATAATGGTCCATATTTTACCCCAAGTCACTATATTTGGAGAAGACCAGGGCTGGGAATACCTAGCTAAGAGAGCACACACCCGAGAGAAGCGCCACCCAGCACTGATCCCTGTGTTAACTGCAGCAGGCATTTAGGGATCAGTGGCTCTGGGCGTGACCTCAATAGGACTGCAAGACTCTAATTTCAAGACCCTTGCCCAACAGGTAAAAATAGACTTAGGTCTACTTACCGAGTCAGTGTCTCATTTGGAAAAACAGGTTGATCCTCTGGCTGAGATGGTCCTTCAAAACTGCCGAGGACTTGACCTCGGGTTTATGAAAGAGGGAGGGCTATGTGCAGCCCTAGGAGAGCAATGTTGCTATTATGCTAATAAATCTGGAATAATAAGAGAAACCCTGGCCACTGTAAATAAACATATACAAGAAAATTATAATAGATTGATAAAACAGGAGGGATGGTTCCAGTCAATGTTTAACTGGTCTTCCTGGATGACTACCCTTGTTTCTGCCCTTGCTGGACCCCCGTTAATCTTGTTACTAGCTTTGACTTTTGGCCCATGCATTATTAATAAGCTTATGGCCTAGGTAAGGACCCGGATAGGATCCGTTCGCCTAATGATTCTGAATCAACAGGCCAAATATCATCCTTTAAGTGAGCTAGACAAGGAAGAGCGAAGATGGAGACAAGAATACCAAGATAATGCTGTATAAGATTACACAGCCACAGGAAAAATCAGTGGGGAATGTGAGACTGAACAACAGTTACTCCATTTTGTAATAGGGCCCCAACTTGTCTGCTTCTGTTACGGATCACCAGGTAGACATAGAGTTCCAGGGATGTGCTTGTTATTGTGCCAGGAAGGTCTGTTGTGTGCGTAGTGTTCCGTCATGCTTGCCCAACTCCATATCTGAATATGCTATCTTAAAAACAATCTGTAAAAGGTCTGTTTTATCCCTCTCCTCCACTTCTGTGTTTCTGCTTGCCAACTTCCCTCTAACATCTCCTATAAAAGGACCTCAGGCTCTGAGCCGGGCGCCTCTCTAAGCTTGGAGCTTGGAGAGTGCCGTCTGGCCAGACTAATAAAGGTCTGTTTTACAACTTGTCCGGTGTGTTCCCTCCTGGGTGATCTTCGCTGTAGTCAGCTCCTCGGAGCGTTTGGTAAGGCCCACGGTCCTACATTACCATCTGCGTCTCGGGCTGCGTCGGACCCGGTTTTCGTCTCCGGAACTGGTCATCATCCAGCGCTACTTCCCCCAGCGCAGAGCGGCAGAGGAGCCGGGAGCAGATCGGTCTCCATGGAACCGGGACACCGCCCTACAGGGGCACGCTGGAAGGGGCAGGCCTGGAAAGCTGGAGAAGGCCAGAGTTGAGCCCCAGAAAACCTTGCGTTAGGACCTTTCTCTTATCTGAGCTTGGGAAGGTCAATCAGAGCGGGATTTAGTAGGGAAACTGAGGCCCACAAAGGGCAGGGAACACTCTTCGGTCGCAGTGCGCCCCAGAGATGAGCTAGAATGTTCTAGCTCAGAATTCCGCATCGTTGGCTTCCCCCCAAATCCCAGAAGCCCGTCTTTGCTTTATTCTCCAGAGTCCGAAGTCCCTTCAGAGCGCCGTCAACCCTCAGAGACGCCCCCTTTAAGGAGCTCTGCCCCTTTAAACCTCGCGGCTCCTCCCGTCGCGTAGTCGCCGAAGCCGCCGGAGGCCCCGCCCCCCACGGAGCTTCCGCGGCCTGGGCCTGCGCGCGCCGGTCACCGCCCCCTCAGGCCCTGCCCCGCCCCCTGCCCCGCCCCCGGCGCTGGGTACCCAGGTGGGTCAAGCGGAGGCGCGCGACGGTGAGCGCAGGACAGGGGCTCGGGGCGCTCGGCCTCCTCTGACCTTGCGGCGGGCTCTCGGGCGGCGCGGGCCTCGGCGATGGGGCGGTCGGGAGCCGGGCCGGACGGGCCTAGCGGGGGAGGGGCCGGGGCGGTGGAGGCGCGGAGGCCCGGCGGCCCGGCTCGGTCGCGGCGCTCGCGCTGCCCTTGCCCCGCCGGGTGCCCGCCGGTGGGCACGGCGGCCCTCGGCTTCCCCTGGGGTGCAGGCCCTCGGTGGGGCGGCCCCGCGAGGCGGCGGGCGGAGGGCCTTGGCCGGCGGGCGGGCCCTCGTGGGACCGTCGTCTGCGCGCCTCCCCAGGTAGCGGCCGAGTTGTTGGCTGCGGAAGGTCTGGCTTCGGGACGTCAGTGCCAATCCTGTGCTCGTCGGAGAGCAGGTGGTCGCCATGGCAATGCGGGAGCTGGTGGAGGGCGAATGTGGGGGTGCCAACCCCCTCATGAAGCTGGCCGGCCACTTCACCCAGGACAAGGCCCTTCGGCAGGAGGGACTGCGGCCTGGGCCCTGGCCCCCGGGAGCCCCTGCCTCTGAGACCGTGAGTGCGCGCGAGGTGGCTGGGACGGGGCCTTGCACACGTGCGGTCACTGCTGTCTGTTGTGTTGCTGGCAGTAGTGGTTGCCTCCTAGTAACACTGCTGAGCACTGTGCATCTATCTTTACATCGATGAAGGGCCTTACTTTACAGATGAAAACATTGAGGCTTAGGGAAGGGTGGTGACTTGCCAAAGGTCAGGTAAATGGTACAGCTGGAATTTGACTCCCATGTGTGATTTGTTTGTCTGTGGTCTCATCACTCCGTATTGTCTTCTTTTTTTTTTTGTCTTCTTTTTTTTAAGGTCTCCAAGCCTTTGGGAGCAGCCTCTGAAGATGAGGTACATATAGCACTCTCTTTCTGTCCCATTTTTCTCTTGCTTATTGTGATTTTGGTTTTTTTTACCCATTAAACTTAGTTAACTAGTATTTCAGTCTTTGGACCCTCCTGACCAAATGAGTTTTTCCTGCTGGTATTTAAAAAAAACTCTTGGTATTTATAAATCTGCAGAAAGAAAAATCTGTATTTCTTTGTCTTTCTCCAGTTTCTATTTCCCTTTCCTTGTATCTGACAGCCGTATTCCCGCCTAGTGGGCCCTGTTACTTTTGGGGGGCTCCTGACCTTGAGGGTTTCTTTCACCATCTCTTTTTTTTTTTTTTGGTACCGGGGATTGAACTCAGGACCTTGCATTTGCAAGGCAGGCACGGTGCTGCTGAGCTATATCCCCAACCCTACCATCTCTTCTGACAGTTGGTGGCTGAATTCCTGCAGGATCCGAATGCACCACTTGTGTCCCGTGCCCCTCAGACCTTTAAGATGGATGATCTCCTGGCCGAGATGCAGGAGATTGAACAGTCCAGCTTCCGCCAGGCTCCCCAGAGAGGTGGGTCCAGAGTCTGTGGAGAAGCGAGGTCACTGTTTTCTGAGTAAGCAGGGCTTGCTCCGAGGGGTCCCATATTTGGGGGCTGTCAGCATCTGGAACTGAGATATGGAGGAGACAGGGACAGTGTTTTCCTGTGCACTTAGGCACGATGGGATGTTCTGTATATATTTTGTTTTTTCTTAGTCTTCTCTGTCTCTTTTAAGCCCCTGGTGTGGCAGACTTGGCCTTGTCTGAGAACTGGGCCCAGGAGTTTCTTGCAGCTGGAGATGCTGTGGATGTGACTCAGGATTATAATGAGACTGACTGGTCCCAGGAATTCATCGCTGAAGTTACAGGTGAGCCTTGGCATTTTTGAAGGACGCTGGACTTGACTTTGATAATGGGGAATTTTTTTTTTTTTTTTTTTGGTCCGGGGATTGAACTTGGGACCTTGGGCTTGCAAGGCAGGTGCCGGAACCACTGAGCTAAATTCCCGGCCTGATAATGGGGAATTGAATAGTAATGTACATTAAACAGAGGACTCGTTTTGAATTGATAAGAGGTTTTGGATAGAGAATGAGGAGCTGGGTCTGTCTCTTTACTGTCAGGAGCTTCATTACTTTAGTTTAGTAGACAGAAGCCAGAGATTGAATGAGTGGCAGAGTTACCCAGGAAGGGAACTGTTCACAGGGGGCCTGGGATTCTGGTCATGGGTCACCCTCAGCAGGATTGGGGCCTTGACAGGTGTGGTTGTGGAGTTCAAAGCCCTCTGTGTCTGCATTCCTCATCTGTGGACTCAACCAACTGTGGATTGAAAATATTTGGGAAAAATTTGAGTTTGTGCTAAACATGTATAGACCTTTTTTCTTGTTCCCTGAGCAATGTAACAGCTATTTATTTAGCATTTACATTGTATTAGATGTTATAAGTGATCTAGAGATGATTTAAAGTATTTAGGAGGATATGTGGCTATATGCAGATACTCTCCTGTTACAAGGGAGAGAGAGACTTGAGGATCTGTAGATTTTGGTGTCTGGGGTAGGGGGTTTGGGGACCATTCCCTGAGGAATACCAAGGGATTACTGTGTGGTTTTGGAGGGCAAAGGCCTTATTATGATGACAAAAATGGCTGATAGCTAACACTTACATACTGCACTATCTTTCAGTCTTTGTGCTAAGTGCCTTGAAATGCATTATCTATTTAATCCCTACGAGAACCCTAGAGATAGTTACTGTTTTTCATCTGAGTTTATAGATAAGAATGCTGAGGTTTAGAGGCAAAACAGTTAGCTCCAGGTGACTCTGGTCTGTAAGTGGTGACTGGGATTTGACGCTGGGCTCGTTGATTCCAGACCTTGTGTATTCAGCTGTCAGGCTGTTCTCCTAGGCCTTCTTGTGCTCTTCTTCCTTGGTACAGGCTTTGGGGACTCAGCCCGATTTTCTGTCTTTGAGAATGTTCATTGCTCACTGCACTCCTTGGGGTTGATTCTTCTTCCCCGAAGCCTGCCTGACGAGGAGCAGGATGATGGGGGAAGTCGTTATATTCAGCCTCTTCTTTCTGATTGCTGACAAAGAGAAGCATTGTCCACCCTTCTGCACTTTGAGAAATCATGAATACAGTAATAAGGAGCAAATGGAGAAAGTTACAAAGAATCTATACCAGTGATGGCAGAACTTTTAGAGACCTAGTCCCCAAACTATATTCCCAAACCTGCTTATTTATCACACAGTGCCAACACTGCAATTAAACCTGAGTACTGCGGTTTTAATTTAGAAAAAGCAACTCATGCGTTAACATCTTTTGTCTTGAAAGAAAAACAAGTAACACACGTGCTGTAGGTTCACCACTACTGTTCTAGACTCTCAAGGAAGTCATATCATTGTTCTTTTTATTCTGCTAAAGGTTGGTCTTCCTCCACACACAAGAGAAGAACCGCCAAAATCTCATTTAATAAAATCTGCTGGTCTTTTAAAAAATCAAGACACTTTCCTGGCCATAGCTGGAGTTAAGGTAGAATAACAGGTGCTCTTGTGTTTGATAGTTTGATTGTCACACGACACTTAGCAGGTGGATGTAGCTTATTATTGTACTTTAATCTGGGGGATGGCATATGCTTAGTACATGTTCCACCACTGAGCCACATGCCCAGTTCCTGTAATATAAAATGCTAACATCTTGTGGATGAGGAAACTGAGATTTGGAAAGATTTTCCCAAAGTATTTGATAACAGATGATATTAAAATACATGTGTTTTTGGTTCTGGGGTTGATACTTTTGATAACCATCCTGCTAAACCGGAGAATCTTCCCTATGGAATTGCTTCAGGTGAAAATCTGAGCTGTAGCAAAGATTCTCTGCCAGACAAACTTTCAGTTTTCACACAATCCTCAAACGTAAGTGCTGCTCCCTTACTGTACAGAGTTCTGTTGTAAGGTGTAGTCGCGAGTCATTTTCAGTAACTCAGAAAAGAACAGGTCGCTGCTACGATGAGCCTTAAAGATGAATGAGATTTTTGTTCTATTGCTTGCAACCTTGGAAACTTCCTTAACTTTTAAACAACTTTCGAAGACGTCCTGGACCTGTCTTACCTGTTGAGTTCTCCTTGGAGAGCTCTTCTGTTCTGTACCTTCTGGAGCTAGGCCTGCTCCCAGGGCAGGGACGTGAGCACCGGGAGGGCAGGCTGAGCTGTGTGAGATCTGCCCTCGTAAGTGTGTCCTGTTGCAGCAGTATGTTGCTTTGCACGTAGTGGGACTTTGGAAATGAATGAATGAATGAAAATCTGGGAGAAAGACCTATAGGAAGTTGATTTTCTCATACTTCACTTCTTTTTATCTTTCTCATAGCACTTGTGGTCAATGTATCAGTGATATAGTTAACAACTGAACTGTGGATAAATAGATTTTGAGTCAAGAGGCTATACTTTAAAAAAATCTTATTATTTTATTTTATTTGAGACAGGGTCGCACTATGCAGTCCAGGCTGGCCTTGAATTTGCAATGTAAAGTAGGCTGAACTCTTAGCTCACAGTCCTCCTGCTTCAGCCCACTGAATGCTGGCATTACAGGTGTGTACCACCATACCAAGATTAATTCTCATGTGAAAACCCTACTACTAAGATTCTAAAATCAAGTTTAAGAGGAACCTGGAAGCTCAGTTTTCTTTAGTTTTTTATATGGGAATAACTATAGTTTCACAGGATATTGCAAACAAAACAAAAATAGTATATAGGAAAGTTCTGTTACCCTTCACCCAGTTTCACCTGATGGTGACATTTTGCATATTTCTTGGTTATGTTCAATATCAAAATCAGTGACTTGTTGTTACAGCCCACAGATCTTATTAAAGCTCACCATTTTTATATGCCCGTGTGTGTGTGTGTGTGTGTGTGTGTATCTGTATCTGTACGCGGATATGTATGAATAGTTTCATGTAGCTTTATCATATTTTTAGATTTGCCTAAACACCATTAAAACCAAGATACAGAACTCTTCCATCGCCATGTGAAACTCAGGTTTCCATCTACTGTATTTCCCGATAGAATTCCTCCCATCCTAAATCTTCTGACCAAATCTGTATCTTGTGTTTGATCACATCGGAAGATAAAACACATCTTTTAGTGTTCTTGACTTTAGGCAGCCTCAGGTGGCTTGGTTCTTGAGGCTCATAGGCTCATAGGCTGGTGAGATGGAAGCCTGCACTTGCATAGGAAATGCAGTGGACAGCAGTAGCAGAACAAACCTTTCCTGGGTGGTGGGAGAGGCTATGGAATAAAAGGAATAATAATCTCATTGTGATGTTTTCTATTTTATTGTGGGCTTGCCATGAGTAGATAGTAATGATAGTTGCTAACATTTGTTACTCTGTGTTTTGGTCTTCATAGAAACCCCCGTGAGATGTCTATTATTATTTCTATTTTATAGATAGGGAAGAGAAATGTAGAGTTCTGAGTAATTTGTGGATGTACAGTAAGTGGTGGAGTTGGGATTTGAATGAGGGTGGGTGACTCCAGAACTTACGTTTTTTTCCCTCTGTGCTATTAAGCAAAAACTTTCCTTGATAAGAGTAGGAAGCTCTGTGTTTCCGGTTTTGAGACCTAGGTGGGGTAAGTCCGTAATGAGAGCCTGTGTGCGGGAGACATTACAAGCTGGATCCAGGTCATTGGATCTGACTCTTCGCAGCACAGGTCCTTCTCTTCTCGGCCTTAGCTGCTTTGATCTCAGACACTTGCAGATGGACCTGATTTTCTGTGAGGATTTCTTAAAGACACTTGGAAGGCCAGTTGTAATTCTGGTATTTTTATTTGACTTTTGTTGGAGCAGATTCCTAGTACCAGAAAATTGTGTGTGTTGTGGCTAATAGATACAGCCAAATGCCGAGTTATAGCAATTTGAGGATGACTTTCCTCCCTTGTGGGATTTTCTCCCCTGTAACGTGCTTGGTGTCTGTGGTGAAGTCCAGGTGCTTTCTAGTTTTTCTGTTGCTTCTTGTCATTGTGAGGAGCATTTCACAGAAATGTTCCTGGGAATTTGGGGAGCATCTGTTCGGATTTGAGGAGTCTGTGTGGCCAGAACAGGCTTTGTGAAGCCCTGGAGAGAAGGGAGGGAACAGAGGCTAAGGAGCAGGACTGCTTTTCCAAGAGTGGACTGGGGACCTGGGAGGTGATGAGGCCTGTCCAGGGGCTAAGTGTCTCCTTTCCAGTCTCCACGCTTGAGCCAACAGTCTAGTTGAAGAAAGAGAAGTGTGGTCTATAGGAATAAGAGAGCAGAGTCGGGGTGTAATTGTTTAGAGTCCTTGGATTTAGGAGATGGGATCCATGACCAAAGATAAACTATAAACCGTATTTTTAGTTACAGGATACATATTACTTATGTATTCTGAGACCCTTGACCCTTTGTTTTTCAGATTTTGACATTGCTTTCTTGGATTTTGAGGTCTTTGCTGATATTATTCAGCCAAAGTCTCAGTTAAAGTGGAAGGGAAAGTTTTGTTGTGCATTGTTACTGAGGTAATAAGTCTGCCTTTTCAAGAGTTAAAAGCAGTGAAACATCTTCAGGGTGGGAACAGAGCCTGGGTGACTGTCAGTGGCTGACTTGTGAGGCTGTGGGAGTTCACTTGCTCTGTAGGCGCCCTGGTTTTTGTTGTTGTTTTTTTTTGTTTTTCCTTCTTGCCCCGGGACAGTAGGACAAAGTCCTGGAGGTTGAGAAAGAATTCAGCACACTCAGGTACTTTGTGCCTTGATAATATTTATTCTGATGTTATAGCAGTGCACTTTGCCACTACACCTTCTAGGATAATTTTTGCAGTTAGAACTAAAAACGTGGCCTCCTAAAGTGAGTCCAGAACCGTGACTCAGCCTGGGTGGTAGTGTCAAGAGAGGTGCAATCATACACAGGAGTCAGTTGAGCTGTGTGCTTGTTTGGCACATTCTAGCTTAGCATTCGGCTTCTCAGGGTCTCGGTTGGCATATTCCAGTGGACGGAGGCTCCAGCACGAGGTGGTACAGCTCTGAGCAGAGAGAATCTAGGCTACAGGTACTAATGAGGAAGCTGGGAGCCCTGGTGTCTACTGTCTCTTTTTGAGGTCTTTGTACTTTGAGAATTTGGTTCTTAATCTTTCTGGAGCCTCCTAATTGGATCTCCTGTTACATAATCGTCATGCCAGGCCCCTTGGGAGTGAGTTGGCCACTGGAGAGGATGTTGAAGATTTAGTAGAATTTTCTTTTGGCCAGGGGTCTCTGTGGGAGTAACTGTGTTGTCGGCTTCGTCTTGGTTAAGAGGATCTGTTAGGATGAGTATTACCTTCCCAATCTCGGGCTGATTTCCAGCTGTGCTCCTTGCAGACCCCTTGTCTGTGTCGCCGGCCCGCTGGGCTGAGGAGTATCTGGAGCAGTCCGAGGAGAAGCTGTGGCTGGGAGAGCCTGAGGGAGCAGCCACCGCGGATCACTGGTGAGTCCAGCATCCTCAGGGGTCACTGTGAAAGGGGTGGGATATCACAGCATTCCCAGCCTCCTCCAACTCACATCCCTTCTTTTTCACTTTCTTAACATTTCCACTTGTATCGTTAGTCCCTATGAATTTATATTTCAGTTACAGGTAATCCTAATTTCCCCACTAGAATGTCATAACTCTATGTTCCCTGTTCCCCTTTTAATTTTTTTTTCCCCCTTTTAATTTTGAGCTTGCTGCTGTCTGTTCCACCTCTCTGCATAGCTATGTTTGGGAAAGTGAGAGGTTAAAAAAAAAGTGTAACTCATACAGTACTTCCCACTCCTGCCAAAATGTCTTTCTGGAATGTAAATTGGAGTTTGTGTGTCCTCAACAAGAGATTTCTGTTTCCCTCGCCTTTCTTCCCATAGGAACCATAGCTGCCATGGGCCAGGATTGGGGGGAGTAGCTTGGGGAAGGTGCAGGAGGACTGAGTTGTGTGATTAGGTTTCCTTACCTGTCCAGGAATGATGAATATCACCCTGAGGAGGATCTACAGCACACGGCCAGCGACTTTGTGGCCAAGGTTGATGACCCCAAATTGGCTAACTCTGAGGTGAGTGACGCCCACTCTTGCTGTGCTCAGCAGAGCTGGTCTTAGAAGGCAAGAGTCTTGCTCCTCCTACCCGACTTTTAAAGAGGAGACGAGATCGTAGGGCTGTTCCTTTCTTTCTAGAGAAAGAAACAGGGTTCCGGTTTTTCCTTCCAGGATTCTTTCCCTTATTCCTTGCCAACTAACCCTTTCTCTTCTGGTGCCTCTGGAATCTCTAGAGGCAGAAAGCATTGTCTTTTTGCTGTCTGATTTTTTTCAGGGCCTTTAGCACATCATGTTTTCAGGTAGAGGTGGCCAGGGAGAGGCGAGTGCAGGGTCCTTTTGGGCGTGGTTGAGTGCACACCTGGAAGTCCTCTCCCAAGGTGCCTCTGTGTGTCTCTGTGCCCCAGTTCCTGAAATTCGTGCGGCAGATTGGCGAGGGCCAGGTGTCCCTGGAGTCCGTTGCAGGGTCGGGCCGAGCTCAGGCAGAACAGTGGGCAGCAGAGTTTATACAGCAGCAGGTAGGACATTGCCACTTCCCAGCCTGTTTCAGCCAGCTGGTGCCCTGGACCTGGGCCTCACTGTTCTGTGGTTCCAGATGGGAAAGGGATTCATCATCAGCTTGTCTCGATAGCATCCAGGTCCTGAGTGGGTGGGAAAGAGAATCTGAGAACACTCTCAGGGTCCAGGCTGGTGGTGGTCAGTGGGTCTTTGGTCTGTGCTGGTGGAGGTGGAGCTGACTTCCCATCTTTGTCACAGGGTACTTCAGATGCCTGGGTTGACCAGTTCACAAGGCCGGTAAACAGATCTGCCCTTGACATGGAGTTTGAGCGAGCCAAATCTGCTATCGAGGTGAGAGCAGATAGTGTGGGCGTGGGGTCCCTGTGAGCAAGCACCCCCTTGGGGAGAGTGGTGCATGAACATGGGAGGTGGTGAAGACTGTTTCTTCATATCCTCGATCCGCCCCATCAGAATTATGAAGGGGTCCTGTGGGTGCTTTCAAAATGCAGACTCTTGGGCATCACTCCTCCGGCTACTGCCAGAATCAAGGGTAGGATCTAGGAATCTGCATTTGAAAAAGCTCTTCATTGGGTTCCTTGACACCCTGAAATTGAGCACCTAGTGCCCAGGGCATGCATCCCTGAGGCTGGAGGGCAGCACGGGGTGGTCCTGATGGCGCTTCTCTCTCTACCTGCCTTCCCTTCCTTACAGTCTGATGTTGATTTCTGGGACAAGTTGCAGGCTGAGTTGGAGGAGATGGCAAAGCGAGATGCTGAGGCTCATCCGTGGCTCTCTGACTACGATGACCTCACATCTGCTTCCTATGATAAGGTAGGAACCCAGGATCTAGAATTTTCTTCTTTAGTGACTTTGCTATAATTCTGATTTTGAAGAATGTCCACACAAAGGTCTTTTCAGTATTTTCTTAAGCTGCTTTCCATGAAAAGAGGTCTGAATCATACCTTTGCTTGTGTTGTCCTTCGGTAATTGAATGTGTGCTTTATTCTTGAGATATACAGGCTAATAAGATACTCTCGTTAAATATGGTGGCCCAGGGGCACAGTGCTGTGCAGGAAGCTCGCATGTGAGGCATGGAGAGTACAGAGGAAGTGGGTGTGCTTTGGAGGTCTGACGGAGGCAAGTTACTACAATTCCCGACTCCTTTGGTAGGAACTGGTGGTTGATACACTGTCCCTCTGCCTCCACACCTTAGTACATAGCTACTATTTTCTTTTTAGCTCACAAGTTCAATTTACATTCTGTTTTAAATCTTATTTATTTATTTTTTTAATTTTTGGTACTAAGGATTAAACTCATGACCTTGTGCTTGTGAGGCAGGTGCAGTGCCACTGAGCTAAATCCATGGCTCTAACCTCTTTTTGTAGGTACCAGGCATTTGCCCCAGTTTAGGGTTTTAAAGAATTACATCAAATAATTTAAGTATTCGAAAAATTTCCCAGTAGTTAGTGGTAAAAGATGATTGAATTTTGCATGTGACATTTGCTATGGACTTAGAAGTGTAAGTTACATCAGGATCTTACTTGAGGGTTGTGGGGAATTGAGGATATGGCTAATGAGCTCTGGAACTGAAGCGTGAGGAGAAAGGGAAAGAATTGCTTGGCTTTAAAAACGGCGAAACAGGACCTGAGTGATGTCTTTTCTTGGCTCTGATGTGGTTGGGGAAGGATTCAGGGGCTAGAGCCAGAGCCTGAGATGCGCAGCAGGGTGTGGGAAAAGATCTTGACACGGAGAGAGAGCTGTGCAAAGCCTGGGCAGAATTTTGTACAGGATCACTTCAAACAGATTAGAGTGGCAGGGTGTTGTGGTGCAGGCCTGTAATCCCAGCACTCTGAGAGGCTGAGGAAGGGGAACACAAGTTTGACCACAGGCTGGGCAGCTTAGTGAATTAGCAAGACTCTGTGTCAACAAAAAATTAAAAAAAAAAAAGCTGATGATGTAGCAGAACAAAAGAGAGAGAGAGAGAGAGAGAGAGAGAGAGCGAGCAAGCTAGGTTTTGAGAACCAACGAAAATTGAGTACTAGGAGAATACATGATTTTGCTTATTATTCCAGTCTGATCTCTTGGGTTTTTCTGAGAACTTTCTTACGTGGTACAATAAAGGAGAGCTTCTTTCTTGGGACCTTGCTCTGCATTTTGCTATGATTTCAGTTCTTTCTGTAGAATTCAGAAAAGAAAGAATGGAAAGACTTTCCTATAGACAGTGCTTTTATTATTCTTTGTTAATAGTTTGGCAAGTTGCGTAGACCCCATTAACTTATGGCAAGTTATACATTTTAGATAAAAATCGCTATGCTATTTTTTTTTTTGGTACTGGGGATTGAACTCAGGACTTTGTGGTTGTGAGCCAGGTATGGTGCCACTGAGCTAAATCCCTGGCCCAAAATTTCTATGCTTTTAATAAATGTAGACATAGTATTTACTTCATGTGAACATCATCCTCCTGTTAGCATTTATTACTTGCATGTTTATGAAATGCTGGGCAAAATACATTTTTTTGGTTAAAAGTTAAAAAATATAATTAGAATTTTAGATTCATGAACCCTGTTTGATATTATTGATACCTTGAGACATTGCAAAATTAGGATTAGAAAAACTTGCATGAATGTGCCATAAAAAATATTGTACTTTATTGCTCTCTAATAGCGAACAATTCAGACATAATGATTTTGGCTTTGTTAGAGTATTCAGAATGTAACAGTGATGTCAAGCTTATTCTGTATTTTGTGGGGTTTTGAAGGTTCCTTCAGAGGATTCTTTTTCCATCTATACAAATATTCTCCCCATACTGGGGATTGAACCCAGGGCCTCGGCACTGAGCTACATCCCCAGTTGTTTTTTATTTAGAGAGCGTCTTGCCATGTTGTCCATGATGGGCATGAACTCACCTCCCAGAGTGCTGGGATTATGGGTCTTTGTGCTTGGCTTACTGTTAAAAAATAACTCTTTGGTTAGTAATTGATGAAACCTCAAGGAGGATAGATACCAAGGCTGAGAGGGAGCCTAGAGATTGCTGTGGCTGAAAGGGGATGTTACTCATTTGTTATGTTATCCACTGAAGACACATGAAGAGCATTTGGATCGCTCCTGGGTGTCACATACAGGCTGTTGTATCTCAAGGAAGTACCTAGAGCAATGAGGATAATACCTGTTGAAAATAGTATTGTAAGCTTTTTGATAAGGCTGTGGTGAATATTCTCTTTTGTGTTCCCAATAGTTTTGAGAGGGAGGAATTACATTATAGATGACAGTAATCTGTGTTTCCCATGGGGTAGGTTACAGCATGGGCTGATGATGGGCAGCAGTTGAGGTTTAGTGAAAAAGGATTTGTCTTAGCACATTCTGAGAGTCTAGGGAAGGGGCCAGTAAACCATGCGTGTGGAATAAATTGGGCTGTTTGTCATTACATGGCCCACTAGCTGAGAATGGCTTTAACGTTTTTAAGTGGTTGAAAAAATAAAAATAAAAGAGTAATACTTTGTGACACAAAAATAAAATAGAATTCAAATTTTAGTGGCCATAAAGTTTTATTGTAAAAACCAATTCTCATTTTTTTACATATTGTCTCTGGCTGGTTTTGTACTACTCTGATGCAGTTGGGTAGTTGCAACCCAAAATATTTATTGCTTGACCCTTTACTGAAAAATTTGGCTAAAATCTGGTCTAGGGTCCTTTTCTGCCTGTTGAGTTTGTGTGTGTGTGTGTGTGTGTGTGTGTGTGTGGTAATGAGGAATGAACCCAGGGTCTCACGTGTGCTGAGCACATGCTCTACCACTGAGCCACATCCCCAACTGAGTTTTTAATACTGTACAAATGCACATGTATCTACATGTCCCTAATGTATGTGTACCAACTTCCTGCCATGAATGTAATTGAATGTGAACTGCAGACATGTACTAGTAGAAAACCAAATTATAAAGATATCCCAAGATCATAATAATTTTCACCATAAATATACTTTTTATTATGTATCTACCTCAGATCCATCTTCTCTAGTGTATTTCACTTCTTGAATCACAGTTGTAATTATTTAATTTTCCTTTGTGACAAGAATAATTTGCCACTGATGGCTTAGAATGATTTAGAACTTTGCTGGTAATATTTGTTTCTGATTCTTCACCAGTTTCTCTATAATAATGAATAGGATATCATGTTTTTCTTAGGTACAGTTTCGTTCTAATTTGTCCTTTACTCTGTTTTAAACTTTGTTTACATTTTGGTGCATTGTTTTGTGATGGTAACTACTTATTTCCCCCAAAGGAGTATTTTATTTGCTTGTCCCAAGTCATCTGGCTTACCAGAGATGTCCATCTTACCCTATTACCTTCCTAGTCCACAAAGGTTTGTAGGTAGTATCATAACTCTTTTTCTCAAATGAGAAATCCTCAGCTAGAAGAGAGTAGAGTCTCACGGAAATATTCTCTGTCTTCCAGATTTTGCAGTCCAGCTTTCAGTTGCTACTTAGATACAGATTGGTACCTATATTTATTAAGAATGAAATAGGGGAATAAATTAACATTTTCAGGTGTTATCCAGTCTGTGTATATGCTGACCCTGTGAGCTAGCTAAGAATTGCATTGGAATGATAGGGTTTCTGATTCCAAGTTGCATTTCCTTCACACAATATCACATTGTCTTAGTTACTTTTCCTTTTGCTGAGACAAATACCCGACATTCAAAGTTAAAGGAGGAAAGATTTATTTAGCTCACAGTTTGTAGAGGTTTCAGTCCATAGTCACCTGGTGCCAAGGCAGGGCATCATGGCAGAGAGGCATTGCAGAGGAGAAACAGTCCATGGCAGGGCAGGCAGAAGGCAGCCAGGAGTGAAGTAGCAAGCAGTAAGTGACCCCAGCAGCCCTCTTTCTGTCCCTTCTATTGTATCCTGGCTATTCGCCCCTAGGACAGGTAGCACTCACACCCAAGCTGGGCCTTCCCATTATCCACACCCAGAACTATGCCAAACCAATCAGTTTGAGTAATTTAGTAATCACACTCCCGTAATTCCTGCCTCACACACTTAATCCCAGAGTCACATGCCCTAGATCCACTACCTCTGAAAAGCCCCACATATGACCGCATCTAGACATAAGTCATAAAATACGTTATTGAAGGGTAATAATAAATGTGCTTTGAATAGCTAAGGAGAGTTTATCTCATTTCTGTAATAAGCGAGACCTGTTAGGATATGTGTTCTATCAGGTGGTGAGCAGGCAAGGATATGGGAACACAGGTCTGTGAAGACTTCATAAATCACCTCATCCCAGCACAGATCAGAGTCTGTAGGCTTGTCTGACTTTTCTCTTATTTTAAGCAGCACGTGGCAGCTTGATTCTGACACTGAATGATTTTGCTGGAGTCATAGGTGATCTTTATAACATGGGGAATTGGCCAGCATTTGATTCGGACGCCTGTGTGGAAGTCTTCAGCTTCTGCATGTCTGTTCTGGTCCTTGTCCTTGCATCCCTGCTGCTCTGACCGTGATGCCCCCTCCTGGACAGTTTCTTACTTGAGTCCCTTCCTTGCAGGGTTACCAGTTTGAGGAGGACAATCCCCTGCGTGATCACACTCAGCCTTTCGAAGAAGGGCTACGGCGACTTCAGGAGGGGGACCTGCCAAATGCTGTGTTGCTGTTTGAGGCAGCTGTGCAGCAGGATCCTAAGCACATGGAAGTGAGTGGCTCGTCTTCCTGGCTGCGTCCTCCTGTGTTGAGGGTGGCTCCAAGGGTGGCTAAGGCCTTGGCTGGGGCTGGGGAGCGAGCAGCAGGATGAACAGGCAGCCACAGCAGTGGCGGATCTGTTGGCTTCCTCTAGGCTTGGCAGTACCTGGGCACCACCCAGGCGGAGAACGAGCAAGAACTCTTAGCCATCAGTGCACTGAGGAGGTGAGTAGTGAGAGGGTGAGGGCCGGGTGATTGGAGGGCCCCGGCCAGATCCCTGCTGCTGTCTTTCTGGCTGCCAGCACATGTGTTTTCTCATGATGAGACTCAGGTTTGGCATGAGCTGGTGAGAACTGGTTCTAGTCTGCCATTAGAGTTTGATTTTATTTCTGGGATCCTGGCTGGTTCCTTGGCTGCTGAAACTTTCCCCTTCTTTGATTGGAGACTTTGTTAGCTCCCTGTTAGATCTTGGGGTGCTGATGGGTGCCAGTGTCTCTGCAGACACCACCCCGTTCCTCCCTGCCCGAACAGGTGTCTGGAGCTGAAGCCAGACAACCGGATGGCGCTGATGGCGCTGGCTGTGAGCTTCACGAATGAGTCCCTGCAGCGACAGGCCTGTGAGACGCTGCGGGACTGGCTGTGCTGCACCCCAGCCTATGCCCACCTGGTGGTGCCCAGGGAAGAAGGGGCTGGAGGGGCAGGACTGGGCTCTGGCAAGCGGATCTTGGGGTCTCTGTTGTCTGAGTGAGTGTGAGGGGTTTCTGGGGTGAGGAGGGGTCAGCTGGGTCCTAGTGGGAGCGTGGCCTTGAATTTGGGAGTTTGGACTGACTGGGATGGGCTGGAAGAGTGGGATGGGAATCCCAGGGTCAACTCGAAGGAGCTCTGTGTTCTGCAGGGCAGTGTGGGTGACACAGCAGGTCTCTCAGTCAGAATCTGGCCGTGGGGGGATGACCGATACCTCGATGAATCTTGGGGATATGGTTGACTTTTTAAGGACTTACTCGAATGGTAGGAATATAGATGTGTCCATTTACTTACTTTTTTAATGTTCTTTTCTCCTCACCCAGCTCCCTGTTTCTTGAGGTAAAAGAGCTCTTCCTGGCTGCTGTGCGCCTGGACCCGACATCCATCGACGCGGATGTGCAGTGTGGCTTGGGGGTCCTCTTCAACCTGAGTGGGGAATATGACAAGGCCGTGGACTGCTTCACAGCTGCCCTCAGTGTTCGTCCCAATGTGAGCCTCGGGCAAGGAGTGGGAATGGGACACAGCTCAGGGCCTAGTGGAAGAGTCATTGTGCATGGGCTGGTTCCTTCAGCATGCATGTGCCAGCTGACTCAGGAGGCTAGCAGAAGGGTCTGTGTGAGGCAGGGCTTACATCATGGCTGTACAGGAACTGCTGAGGAGGGTAGGGTGGGTTGGTAGCACATAGGAGCTGAGTAGTAGTGAAGCAGGGGAGGAGTGGGCAGAACTTGATGTGAGCCCACTCATGTTCCCAGCCCTTCTCTATCCCTATGCCAGGACTATTTGCTGTGGAATAAGCTCGGGGCCACCCTGGCCAACGGGAGCCAGAGTGAGGAAGCAGTGGCTGCGTACCGCAGGGCCCTTGAGCTACAGCCTGGCTACATCCGGTCTCGCTATAACCTGGGCATCAGCTGCATCAACCTGGGGGCCCACCGGTGAGAGGACTTTGAGTCCCGAGTGGGTGCACTGTTTCCTCCCGCCTTCAGGCTGGCTCCCGATTGTGTGGTCTTGCCTTGTCTGACCAGTGCCCGCTCTCTCCCTCCCTGGCTGAGTCCCTAACCTGCCTCCTCCGACTGTTGTTTTCCTCACCAGCTCTCATTCTTCCTCTTCCCCACAGGGAGGCTGTGGAGCACTTTCTGGAGGCCCTGAACATGCAGAGAAAGAGCCGGGGCCCTCGGGGGGAGGGGGGTGCCATGTCAGAGAACATCTGGAGCACCCTGCGTCTGGCGTTGTCCATGTTGGGCCAGAGCGATGCCTACAGCGCGGCGGATGCCCGGGACCTGTCTGCCCTCCTTGCCATGTTCGGCCTGCCCCAGTGACAGTGGGACGGGCTGCCCTGTGAGTGCCCACCTGGAGGGGTCTCCGCCCTGGATGTGACACCCTTTCCCCCAGTGGGCCTCCAAGGGGCTGGGCCGATGACCATAGGCGGTATGGCTTCTCAGGAGCTGCCCCAGTGCAGGGGTGGATCGTTCAGATTCTAGGTCCTATGTAATTGTAGGGAAAGGAGCTGTTGTCTGTGTCCCTTGGTAATTCAGGGGCTGCGCATCCAGCTACAGATCTCTCTGCTCATCATGCCCTTTCTTGGTGCTGCTTTCTGGGTAGGACCCAAGGATATGGGTAACTGTTGTCATCAGCTGCCATTTCTGTAGGGTCTCCCACATTTGTAATGTCTGTCCTTCCCCCGTGTAACTAGGAATTGGTAACGGTCCAGCTTCTGAGGACAGTTGTGTTAGGAGGCTCTGCTGGGCGTCTGTCTGGGCTGAGATATGGTGGGTGTTGGCCCGCTGGACAGAGGATGGATTTGATTTTGGCTCTATAGAACCAAGTGTTGGTGTAGGTGCTCACAGATCTGCTGCTTTTGGACCACCTCTCTGGCTGTGAGCTTGGGTTCCCTGAGCGTATGACCCTGATGCGGTAACTCGTGTCGTTATTGCAGGGGTCCTCAGGAGCAGCTGGGGCTAGCTGGCTGTGGGGTAGGTGAAGGCTCTTATGTAGAATGACCTGGTGGGGAATCGGAGTCAGATCAAAGGCTCTGTCCTGGGACCTTAGCAGGAGCCCAGAGGCCATGGGGAGTGCAGTGGGCCTCCTAGAAAGACATGAGTAGGAGTTGTGCTGACTGTGTATACAGTAGGTTCTGAGATTTCCATCTTGCCAAATTCCTAGCAAAGAGGGCGCTCAGTGTTACCATAATCCTTTGCTGTACTTCCTGAAATGTTTCTTGGGGAGTGGGAAAGTGTTCTTCCCCAACATTACCTCCACACCGTGAAGACTGAGGGAAGAGGGAGCAGTGTGGACTTTGCTCTACCGTCCCCCCGTGTGGGAGATCCCGAACCCCACTAAGGATTGCTAAGCCTTTTGCCTTGTCTTTAGTAGCTAATGATCAGAGAGAATTTTTTTTTAACTACCATGGTCCCCAGATTCCATTCTGAAATTTATTTTTCTTTGTATGAATATGTGTAAATGATTTAAAAATAAAGCTGTAAAATATTTGTATGAAGATTAAATGGAACTGATGTGGATATGAATTCTGCTGCTGGTCACGAAGTTGGGTGGTGGGAGTGGGGTTGGTATTTGTTTTTCTCTTCTCCCTTTGTCTTCTAGGTGCCCACTGGTATTTTGATGACCTGTTCACTTCTCCAGACAGATGAAGCCACTGCAGGATTTTCAGGAGAGGCAAATGTCTAACAGCCGCAAAATTTTACATTTGTTTACTACCTACAAAGGAAGTATGCAGTGCTGTATAATTATGTGGGAGGATTTTGATTTTTCTTTTTCTTTTTTTTTTTTTTTTTTGGTGTTTTGAGACAGTCTCACTATGTAGTTCAGGCTGGTTTTAAACTCACTGTGTAGCCCAGGCAAACCTCAAACTCAGCGATCCTCTGGGCTCAGCCCCCGAGTGCTGGGAATACATGTGTGTAATCCATACCTGGCTTTGATTTTTTTTTGTGTGTGCTTAGATCTAAAAGTTTTCATTTATGTTTGCCTCATCTTGCCAGGAATTGTATCAAGAACCATATCGACACAGGCATCTGGGGGCTGGCATGGTGACACATGCCTATAATCCCAGCTACTGGGGAGACTGAGGCAGAAGGATCAAAAATTGCAAGCCAGACTAGGGGATTCATTGGGGTCCTATCTGAGGGAGAGGGATTTATCCTGTGAGGGGAATTTATTTTTTTTAATTTATTTTTTTGAGACTGGGGGCTCGCTATGTAGTTCAGGCTGGCCTTGAACTCATGTAGCACAGGCTGGCCTCGAACTCATAATCCTCCTGTCTCAGCTTCCCAAATGCTGGGATTACAGGCTTGCACCACTATGCCTGGCTGGGGGGAAATTAAAAAAAAAAATCTAAACATATATTTGGAGATAGATATTTGTGTTAGGATGGAAAAAATGTGTAAAAGAACTGCCTCAACAGCTTCAGTATTTAGCTGTTTAATTTTACTCGTGTAACAATTTCTAGTAATAATAAATACAATATAAGAAGGCAGGCAAAGGGTAGCACATTGTTTACAGATTATCTCAAGGAAAAACACTGAAAAGAGAATAAGGAAATATCTGTGTGGTGAAAGTGTTAAAATGATTAATGATTTTCCTTTTGCTTCATTATACTTCTTTATAGTTTCCAAATTTTAGTATGATCTCAGTGTTATAGTTTTATAGCAAAGAAGTTTAAAACACTGTGGTAGGGGGCAGGAGGCAGTGGTGGCATCGGTTGCCACCTGGGTGATCACAGACAGCTTTGTCCTGGGCTCCACAATGTGCAAAGCCATAGGCCTGCAAGTGGCCTGGCCAGGCTGAGGCCTCAGTTTCCCCACTGCAGATATACAAAGAAGAAAGGCAGCTGAGGGAATGGCTGAAGAATTGAGCCAACTCCTGGTTTAAGCTAAGTCTCCAGGTTCATCTGCCTCGCCTGCTTTTGGTAACAGGTGAAAGTGTCCAAGAAGATGCTTTTCCTGCAGGATCAGCGACAGGGACACCTGATTGGATTCTGCCAGCATTTCCTGAGCCCTCAACACGTACCAAGCCCAGTTCCAGGCACCAGGACACAGTTCACAGGGCGAACAAGGTCCTTGCTGTCATAGCTCTCATGCTAATGGAAGAGAACACACAGGCAAGTATGAGCAAATGCTGTGAAGAAATCAAGGTGTTGCATTGGTCTGAGATACAAGGGAGGTTTGTGGGGGCACTGGGTGGTCAGAAGGCCAAGGGTGTTCTGAGGTGACAGCATGACGGGACAACCATGGGGGATACTGAGGAGGGAGCCATCCAGGATCTGGGGTGCAAATGCAAAGGCTATGGCCCCACATTCAGAGAGTTTGTGTGCATGGCAGGAAGGTGGGAGTGGGTGAATACAGGCCGGGGGAGTAGCAGACCTGTTTAGTTTTGTCCTGAGGTTTGTGGATGCTTAGAGTGTAAAGGTTTCACAGCTACTATAGAGAATCTCTTTACAGTGGCACCTCACTGGATTCATGAACTTAATTCTTTCCATGATTGTGGTTGCAAACCAAATTGGATGAGAACAGAATCAAATTTCCTCATAAGGTCAACATTGAGCCTAACCATTGAATTTGATTTGGTTCTCATCCAATTTGGTTTGCAGCAAGAATCATGGAAAGAATTAAGATAGTGACCCAAGGTACTATTGTAGTTAATCACCTTTCAGTGGTGTACTTTGGATGTGGCTACTTTGGTCTTTTGCCTCTGTCCCAAGATCTGACCACCTGTATTAATTTGGAAGGGGAGAATGCAGTGTAATTGGCTCAACACAGAATTCTCTGGGAATGTACTCTAGTATTGTTAATGTTACAAAGGTAATCTGGGTGTTTACTTAGAAAACCATAAATAGCAATTATGTGACCCTGGTAATACCAAGCAAATCAGCTACAGTAGTATCATCCAAGACAATTTGGATTGTTTGGTTTTTTTCTTTTGGGATTGAACTCAAAACCACTGAGCTAAATCCCCAGCCCTAAGACAAATTGGATGTTAACATACCATAAGAAGTTGGGTACCACCCTTAACCCCAGAGAAGAAATCCATAATTATGTAAACACTAAGACAACCCAGGTATTGACTTGCAGCTAATATATACTAAATGCAACAGCTACATCTCCACTAATGGTAGAAAAGAATTTTATAGTGTAACTACCTTAAGATTAATAAAGGTTTATGGAGATACTGTTAAAAAAATAGAGGGTTAGGGCCAGGGATTTAGCTCAGTGGTTCCGCCAGCACAAGGACCCAAGTTTGATCCCTGGTACCAAAAAACAAAACAAAAAAATAGAGGGTTGGGAACAGGGGAATGCAAGGGGAAAACTTTGAAACCTTAAACTATATACTAAAAGGAGGAGAGAGAAGTGGGACAGAGAGTCCTATTGAATAGAAAGATGTTTATAGGATTAGGTAAAGGTAACAGAAAAAAGTGATGAGAAATAGATGATAAAAGAAAAAGAGGGAAAAAATTATATGGGGAGTAAAAAACAAAGGGAGAAAAAAGGCATAAGAGAAAAAAATGAAATAGAACAAAAAAGTAACAAAAAGAATTAAAAGCAAGGAAAAAGGAAAATTTTCCAGCCCCAGTAAACTGACGAAGAAGAAAGGAAAGAAGAAAAAATGAAACAAAATAAAACAAAAAACAACATACACTGTCAAGAGCCATTCTACATAAATTTTTTGGGAAAAACCATTTCATAATTAAAGTACGATTATAGCTGTCTAAGGCCCAATGTCACCTTGCCTGTAACTGCCTATGTCATGCAGAAACAGCTCTAGTTTGCCTCCTGGTTCTTTGAGAACCGAGAACCACTGAGAATTGTGTAGTAATAAAGAAGGAGAAAGGTTTCACCTGGGGGAAGGACCAATTCTTTATTAGCCTGCTATCTCATCCCACCTACTATTGTAAAAATGCTCTCCTTATTGTCCTCATCAACATAAGATGCTGATCAACCTAAGATCCTTATCAAGATAGGATTACTGCGGCTCCCTAAGTCACCTGACACTCCAATTATTGTAGGTACCCAATAAATAATGGCCATCTCAGAGAGTCTTTGTCTTTGCTCACTCTGAGGCACTGATCTCCTAGCCCTTCCCCCCATCTACTTTGAAACCTCGAAAGTCTCTTTTTCTTTCTTTAGCCCTCACCATCCTCCTTTCTAGGCAGTTGGAAAGTTGATTGCCCTGCGATAACACACAAAAGAAATTTCTCCATGAGTTTGAATGTTTGGTTTTCTTCTAGGATCTAGAATTTTGGGGCAATGTCTGAGTCAAGATGTAGCCTTGGTCATGCTGGTAGGTAAGGCAGGCAGACCCCAGGTCTGTGCTGGATGCAGACACTAATAGTGGTAGGAGTAGGGTGAAGGCACCAATGGTGTGACTCTCAAATCCAGGGCAAGAATTAAGATTGAGCCTGGCCTCTGGCCATGGGGCAAGGCCTGTGTCATTTAGGTCAAACCTTTCAGGGGGTCTCTTTCCAGCTTGCTACCTGACCGTAGCTGTCTCCTGTGGCTGTTTCACACCCAGTCACTGTGGGAACATAACCATGGGGTCCCTGATGTGAAGAACTGGGATGAACCCTGGGCTCAGTCAACATTTCCCTGGAATGGTGTCCGACCAACTACTCTCCAGGGTTATGGTGGGCGTTGGGACTGGAGTCACCAGCTGTTGCCTGTTAAAGGACCTATTGGGGCAGATTCCCACACTCTCCCTGGAGATTACAGCGTCCACCCATCTGTTTCACTGCTATGTTTCTCCCAGAAGCCCTTTGGAGCCTCCAGCCTTCACTGTCTCTAGATTCAGTCTCCCTTTCCCATGAACCACAAGCCAGGAGCTGGGGAGAGAGTACATACTGTCTATTCCCTTCTTTGACTTGTATTCTGCCTCTTCAATTTTTCTGTAGGTTTTAATTTTCCTATTGGATCCATCCTGGTTCCTGGGGATCTACTTCTCTCTTTCTCAGGTTGTTATTTTATAGTGTCTGAATTTCAGTCTTGGAGAGGCTGAGTTGTTGCTTAGCTGTATGTTTTTCTTATACTGTATTATCTACAACTCAGCACAAAATTCAGTGAAAGAGATTATTCTTGCTTGTACATGCAATGGTTCCAAATTTGCAACAGTAGTGACTTTTGCTGTAATTTTTGAAAAAACAGTTTATCAGTTTACAGAAGCTTTTGTTTTCTTCATTTGATAAAAGTTTCTCTTTTTTTAAAAAAATTGCAAATGTTAACATTAAAAAGGGCTGGGGATTTAGCTCATTGGTGCCACTGCCTGCCTCGAAAGCATAAGGTCCTGAGTTTGATCCCCAGTACAAACAAAACAAAACAAAACACCATTAAAAATACAAATAGATGTGAAATGTAATTTCTTTAGACATCTTCAGTGAGCCAGATGTGGTGGCACATGCATATAATCTCAGCACTCTGGAAATCTGAGGCAAGAGGATAACAAATTTGAGCCTAGCCTAGACAACATAAGTTAGCAAGACCTTTTCTCAAAATAAAAAAATAAAAAAAGGGCTGGGGATGTAGCTCAGTGTGAAGGTGCTGGGTTCACTTCCCAGTATTAAAAAAAAACAAGGACATCTTCAGCTAAATATACACTGTTAGTTTTTTGTGTTAACTGAATGGTTCAAAGGCATCTTGGAATTTTAGAAATTATATTGAAACTAGAAAGAGCAATACAATTACTGTTGATAATCTAACATTATTGGAAGTATGTGAATCTTAAAATGTTACCTAGATTGTGTAGTTGTGTAACTTTGTAGTCCACATAATTTAAAGACTAAAATTAAGAAAAAAAATTCTCACATGGAACAGTGGTGCATGTCTGTAATCCCAATTACTTTGGAGGCAAGCGTGGGCAATTTAGTGAAAACCTGTCCAGAAGTTAAATTAAAAAAGGGCTAAGATCACTTTTTTTTGGGGGGGGGGTTGGTACCAGGTATTGAACTCGGGTCCTTGCACTTGCAGGGCAGTTGCTGGAACCACTGAGTTAAATCCCTGGCCCAAGATCACTCTTAATGATAGAGCACTTGCCTACCATGTATGAGGCCTTGGGTTCAATCCTTGGTACTACAAAAACAAAAAAGAAACTCCGTAATATTTAAATTATATAAAACATTCATGCACACAAAATACACAGTATATTACATACTCTTAAATAATGGCAAAAGTATTAACTTTAGTCTAAGGCAAATGTAACTTAGGGTGGCTTTATTTAGAAGACCAGAGTTTTAGAAATCCAAATCCAAACTCTTGTATATGCTTATCCTAATGCTATGTTTACATTTTTATTTTATACTACTGCAAGAATCAGAAAATATAGAGATCTGTTCCAAAATTCATGAATCAATTTGCTTTGATACAGGTGAACTTGGATTAAAATTTAATTTCCACATTTATTTTACCCTCCTGTTTTTTCCCCTGTGTTCCAGGTTTTGTATGTTCGGCTTTTTTGAGACAGGTTCTCAGTATTGCAGCCCAGGCTGCCTTCAGACTCCTCACACTCCTGCCTGAGCCTCCCCAGTGCTGGGACTACATGCACCACCACAGTCGGCTTCTGATTTGTAACAATATATGGCGAGGGGATTTAGATCTAGAATCTTTCGTTTTTATTTTTATTTTTTTCTGACTTGTCATGATTATTAATCATTAGCCTATTGTACATTTGTGGTTCTTTTGTACTTTTTCTTGTAATACAGTAGGGACCCTGAAAGCATTAAACCAAAATAAAATTGCCTTTATTCTCATCCAAAAAATCTTTTTAAAGGAGACACAGTGTTTTTATTGGAATAAGAATGTTTAGTTTTTATTAACAACATTGCTTTGTGCCTATTCATATATATATTTTTTGTTAGTGTAGTATTTACTTTTAACTAAAGAATTTATCATTCAAGGTAACCCAGTATTTCATTTGAAAAGTTCTTTTCTAAGTAGAAAATAATCCTTTTAAAATTTAGTCTATGAACTATTAGTTCACAGAGGATATTAAAATGTTTAGTATATTTGGGAAAATTAGAGTGATAAGATTATACAGTACTTTGATTTTTTCTAACTAGAGATGTTTTTCTGAACAGTGAGGGCCCTCAGAATTTGGTTTGGTATTTAAGTATCT